ATTGACTGGGTGACTGACAGCCTCCCCACCGGTTTCAACAGCGCCAGTAGCGGAGGGGGGAGGGCTGTGGTGGAAGAAGGGATAGTGGTAGACGGAGCCGCCCGAGTGACGAGCCACGCCTGAGATGGTAGCAATGTCGCAGTATGTCGAATTGAGGAAGAAGAGGTCGACTGAGATCTGAAGGGGAGAAAAGCGCTTGCAGGTAAAAGCAAGGAACCTGGTGTTTGCACCTGGCAGGGTTGCAAACCCTACGTTAACACGTTAAAATAGTATTTCTGCCAAAGATAAGTTTTGTAGGTAGCTGCATTCTAAAGTCGACAGCAAAAATCTGACGCGAGTGGAATATATGTCCTCGAGAACAGTAAAAAACTGTGATGGCTGAGTAAGATTCCCTACAAATCATCGTTAGATAATAGTAGGGGTCGGGTATCGCGGGCAAATGACGGCTTATAAGCCAGAAATGCCCATTCCAGTCTCCCTTGTCTTTGTCGGTAACGTGTTTATGTCTATAATTATAGTGTGTCTACACATTTTCTAACAACCGGGATAATTTTACCGCATAATTCATGACGGTTATATAAACGGTACGGTTTAACAAACAGTGAACAGTTGCATGGCCCGTAAGTTCCACTTGCTTCTGCTACCTCGAAGTATGGGCAATTTTGTTCCCCGCAGAGCTCTGGCATCAGTCAAAGAAAGGAGTAGCTTAGGACGGCAGTCCATCAAGCCGAAGGGAGATGCAAAACATCTAAATGTATTTAACGAGTCTGATTAACATTTAAAGCAACAGCGTGAAGATACAGCTATTTTTAAGCTGCTTTTATCCAAATAGACACTTATGGCGTGTAAAACAAATAAAGGCTAACATACAGTAGGCGCCGAAATTCATTATCCATTGCCTGAAATAGGTTTCTCAATACAGAAAAATACTAATTCAGGTTGTAGTACTCACCATAGAGAAGTATACAGGCTACTAAGGCTGGATCTATACTGACACCCTTCCAGTAAAATTCTTAAAAAGGCCTACTTAGAACTGAAGAAAAGAACAATATTATAAAAACCAAGTATTGCACCTGATGATCAAACACTAGGAAATCTATTCCGAAAAAGGTATAAACTAACCCACTGAGTTCTTGTGCTAATACCCCCCCTGTTAACTTCAGCATGGTTGAGGAAATCAGACTAAAAAACCTCAAATAAAAGAGACAGACTTCGACTGCAGAAAGCCTGACTGTTCCTCGCGTTCGACCGCAAACATAAGTGTGTAGGTTAAAGCAACCGGGACAACATCACCCACGACTGGGCAAAAATAACCATATAAGAGTGGGCTTACCTGAGCTCCAGCAAAGTCGAGGGCTAAAGTCTTATAAAAATCTGACGCGGCTCCCAGATGTTTCACGTCGGGCTGTTTCTGATCATCCTTCTCCTCCCGATGCTGCAAACTGCCCGGACCGAGGTTGGGCAGGCTGGTAGCGAAGACTGTCACACGACCGCCAATGGAGCCTATCAGTTTGAGTGCGCTCTGCAGTGTGGAAGACAGACAGAATATTAAGAGGCAGATCAATGGACAACGAGGACAGCAGGCGATTACTTCTAAAATAAACATTACTGT